CGGTGAAGTTACGGCCGCAGCGCCACGCCTGCGTAGCCTCTTCCCGCCATTCATGACCCAAGCCGAAGTTGTGGATCGCCGCGTGGGTACCCTGCATAACTGACTTGACTTCGCGTTCGGCCATCCCGCTGGTTCGCGACCGACGCGGCGCGCCGGCGTCGCGCCGCCGCCCCAAGAGACGGCATGCCTCCAGCACTCGCCAGAGTTGCGTGCGTGGATGCGCTTCGCCTCATCGGTAGGGGCAACGGACTCGAGGAAGGATGCCGCGGTGGTCTTGGCGTCCTTGTGCTTTGCTGGATATTCCGCGATGGCGCCCGCGAGCCCGTCAAAAAAGACGACCGCGTACTTGTCGCCAGGTTTATCCGCCGCATCATCAGAAGCAAGGAAGGAAGATGCGGTCGGCAGCCAGAGCCCCGCCGAATCGCTTTGGTACGAATGCCTCGCATTGAGCGCTTTCCTCAGCGGGCTGCGTTGGCGGGTTGGTTTTGCGCTTGCGTCGACATGGCGTGTTGTGCGCCAGAATGCGCGCGCATGCTGTGCAGTCAGGGTGCTTCGGCGGGCTGCGAACTTCGTGGTGCGCGGGGCCGATGGGTGGCCGAGGGCGGCCAGGTAGCGTCGCATCGCGCGTTGGCGGCGTAGGCGCGGGCGTGCCCTGGGGCGCTGAAACGCGAAGCGATAGGTCGCTCACTGGCGGCATGGACGCGGGTGCGCCCACCTGCGCAATTGTATCGCCCACGCAGCACCAACGCATATGGGGGCGCGAACCATCGAGCCCATCCTGTTGCACTCGTCGTGGACGTCGTGATGCGCGTGGCGCGGTGCACAACTGACGCGGTGAAATCCGCTCAAGATTGTTGAAATCTAATCCCGGGGTGCGATTACTGACGCAACTCTGCACCATTGACCACGTGGATCCTGTAGTGGGTAACCCAATTGAGGACCCCAGAGTGGCCGGAAGCCGCCGTCTTGCACCAGTTGCCCCACATGTAGTGCCGATGGGCAGTCATCCAGAGCAACGGCTGAGCTGGATAACCCAATAGGTGGTAGCTTCGGGCGTCCAGGATCCGCGTCCGTGACGACGCTGCAGTGGGCCGCGTCGCAGTGGTAGACTCGGTTGCGGGCGTTGCCGCCGACGCAGCGTCGATGTGCGATGGTATGACAGGCGCTGTGGTTACTCTGGTAGGCGCGAGGTCATCGTGCCATCGTTGGGCTTCTGTCTGCCGCCTGGGCGCTGTCTTCCATGCGCCTGTCAGGCAACGGGTCGGGCGCATCAACTGGGCCACCTTGGTTGACGCGTGGTTCTTTTGACTTGGGGAGACGTCGTCGATAGACAGTGTAAGTGATGACGTCAGTGTTGTCGAGGTCGGACGTCGGCGCCGTTGCGGATACGTGGTGGCCGAGATCTCCTCGCGGATCACGCGCGTTCGATCCTGTCGTCTGCTGGCAAGAGAGCGGTTCCTATGGCGCGTCGAAGATGAACGACTGTAGCCGCGAGATGCGGATCGGCATCCGCCCCTGTCGCCCCTGGCGGGGGAACGTCCTCGACGGCGGTGGCGGTTGCGGCCCCGCGATGATGATCGGTGGCGCAGCGGAGATCGCGGTGGCCATCTGCGCCCCCCTGGACTGCGCGAGCCCCGCCGCCCCCCGCGCCCCGGGGGCGGCGTTCCCCGGCGCGACCGGCGCGCGCCCCCCGGACTTCTGGAGCTCCGCCGCCCCTCAGCTGGGGAGTTTATGTCGCCCCCCGCGCGTCCTGGGGGGCGCGCGCTGCCCCCCGCGCGCCCCGGGGAGGGTGTCCTGTTGGGGCTATCTTGGCTGCGCGTCCGACTGGGGCATCGCTCGGGGGTCTCGGCGCCGGGGTCGACGTGGGCGAACCAGCGGGCGCTGCCGTGCTCGCTGCGAAAGTTTAGGTCCACATGGAAACTGCATTTGGCAAGGCGCGGACGCTTGCATCGACCCCTTCGCGGGCGAAGTCGAAACGCGAATTATGCATGCCTCTGTCCTTGGGCGGTTCGGGGCCGCCCCGTGGAGGCGGGCGCCCCTGCCGGCAGTCGATGCTCGCCGTGGACATCGCGGCGTGGAACGGGTGCCAGCTCCTGCGCGCAGCAGCATGCACCGCTCTCCGTCTTCACAGCGTCCTGACTCGAATGCAGCGGAGGCGGCTGGCTCACAGCGAGTCGTTTTTCGTTCCTGAGGTTGCGTCGGTTGCGTTCGAGTCGGCGCGGCGCGACGCTGGTCGGAACGCGTTCTTGCAACCAGTATTGGGTGCGATTGGGGCCATTCGATGTCATCTTGTTTTAGTCGCGCACGTCCTGCCCCATCCATGGGTGCCTGCGGATCTGAGCTCGGGGAAATGACTCGAATGTTTTCGTGCACGGTGGATCGCAACATTCCAAGACCAAGCTGCCCCAGGCCACAATGAACCGTTGATAGCGCTCGCCACGCATGCGAATGAGTTGTAGACGTTCAGAGTCACGCATCGCGTCGTCGACGCCCGTGACCTTGTAGGATTGCAATCTAAACCATTCGATATGTCTGCTTTTCAACACGCGGCCAGCTTTGCGCGATTGAGCTTTGAGGTTCTTCACGCGGCAACGGAGGCCATTAATGCTGACGCCGCGAGCCCAGCGGCAAGCTTGCAACCGATGCTTTCAAAATCGGCCCTGCCTCGTAGGTCCTGGGATGCGGTGCCAGGTAGTTCGGCGACGCAGTGAAATGCGCAGTCCCTGGCAGGGTGGCAGGAGGCGCTGCCATGATTTCCACGACCATATGTTGCCACTCTTGTACTTGAAAAGTGCGTGGCAATTGAAGAATGCGCAGTGCCCGGTTCCTTCGATTGGAGTGGTACCACCGAGGGAGAACTGTGATAGGGTCTGCGATGGAACCAGTGGAATTGGCGATGGCGCACGCGCAGGCGCAGGCGAGACATGACGCGACTGAGCCGAGGCCGCCGCAGAAGCGGCACCCGGTGACGCGCGTCGCGGTTGTCCAGCGCAGATGTTTCCATCGGCGAGGTTTGGGACACAGTCGGCGGTACGTTGCGGAGGTGGGGTCAGATGTGGATTTGGGCGTCGCTCACGTGGGCCTTCATGGTGGCGTCAGTAGTTGTGATGTCGGTCTGCATCTGCTCAGCGCTCTGTCGAAGACCGCATATCTCGTCGTTGGTGTCATAAGTTCGTTGAGAGTACCAGTCCAGCCGATGCTCCAAGTCTTGGATTAGCCGGTTGCGTGCTTCGCGCTCGCGTTCCAAACTGGCGGGTGCATCCTCAATCCGTGCCTTTTTCAGCGTCTCTTTCGCGGGGGATCCGGGTGGGTCGTAACTGCGCGTGGCTCGCGAAATCGCAAACCAAAGTCGGGGGGCCCAGCTGATCATTCTGGGCCCGCACAACGCGCAACTCAGCCAGCGCAGCCTGCATTTCAGGCAACTGCTGCTCGACCATGGAGACGCCGTTTCCAAGCTTTGGCGCGCGTCGCTCCGAAGCGCCCAGAGGTTGAGCGATAACCATCTCAGCACTACGCAGCTTGCCGCGCAACTCGGGCGTGACTGTGCTAATTCGGGAGTGTAGGTTGGAAGTGTGCACGTCAACCTGCGCAATTAGGTCGTCGCGGACCTGTTGATGCGCACGCCCATGTATCTACGTAGCTGGAACCTACCGCACTGTCAGGAACTCATCGTGTAGTGTCCTGACGGCGGCAGCGCCCGTGTCCCTGACGTTCGCGAGTCGGGCCCCCGCTGCGAAGAGGTAGTCGTGAAACGTCTAAGTTGCCATGGAGTCGGAACCTCGGCGTGACTCCACGCCGTCGAATTGATACTGGATCTGAGCGAGGATCGATCGACCCTCGGCGATCCGAGCGTCGACGAGGGCAAGGATGTCGTGAAGTTCGTGCCTCAGTGTTGCTGTCTGCGCAGCAAGACCCGACAACAGCGTCAACCTGGTTTCTCAGCTCTGCCAAATCACTGGCGGAGGGCGACGCAGGGAACTCTGCCAATACCGCCTCTGGAAGGGGCTGCGGCTGGTGTGTTTATGATGGGACTGGAGATGATACCGATCGGGGACTCATTGCTGTGAGGTCGTTCCAATGCGACCCTCGATGGCACGTGCGTGTTCAGACGCGGGAGCCGATGCGGGGCTCGAAAGACCTCTGGTGGCCCAGCGGCGGCGTCGCGTGGAAACGCCCGGGGGAGACGTTTCACTGGCGCCACCACCGTTCCACCAGCGGGGGCTGGAGGTTGAGGCGAAGCGAATCCAGCGGTGGCTCTGAGGGCAAACGCGGGCGCTTCCACCCGCGAGGGTTCCGAATTATAAGGTGGCGCCAGGGGGCGCCATGATCGATTGGGCGCTATGTCCAAACCCAGGCGCGTGAGATGGCGCCGGCGCGGGAGGCGGGAAGGAGTCAATGACCTGTTCGAATTCCGCCTCAAGTCGAGCATCGGCGCTGTCTTCTCCTGGTAAAGGGGGGATTGCGGTATCATGCGCGGTCCCATTGCCATCTCCGTGGTGTCGTAACGCCCGCGCTCCGTCGAAAACCCAGCACGCATAGAGGTACTGGTCCCCGCGGGGTCCAGCGCCATGCGGCTGAATCAAAAACGGCGCAGGGTGTCACAACGAACTTCGAAATAAATATATTGATAACCTGTGTATTTAGGTTTACGACCGAAGAATCGAACCTACAGAGATACCCGTAAGTAGAGGAAGGTTAAAGCGAGGGTCGCGATCCATTTTTCCCACGCGCCGCGGGCAGGCGGCGCGGTACCATGTTGCAATACCTGAACCGAGACGGTAACAGGATAGATGGATAGAAAGGTGATGTGAACGGACTTCACACACAAAAGGCCCCCCAAGGGGCTCCAGAGGGGCCTCCAAACAGGCTCCCAATATGCTCCAAAAGCGCCCCCAATAGGCCCCCGTAAAGACCCGCATATATCATGTTTTGAGGACGGCGGATCTGGTTGCAAGGCATTCGCAACGCTCTCCTCGAGACGCGCCCCTGGACAAAAGAGCCTCCAGGACCGGCGGCGGCTTCGCGGCGGGGGTCTGCTCGTCGTCCATGCACAGGAGGTCCACGGCAGGAGACGGGACGGTCAGGCTGGGCGGCGCCGCGGCCACAGGACCCTGCCAGCCGGAGGAGTGAGGAGGGGGGGGGGGGAGGAAAAGGGGCAAGGACGGGGATGAGGAAGAGGAGGACGAGGAGAAGGAGGACGAGGAGGAGGAGGAAGAGGAGGAGGAAGACCAGGAGGAACAGCAAGAGGAGGTTTTCGGGTATCCTGGGGGACCTGAGTCTTCACTAGCGCCAGACGAGGACGCGGGCGGCTGCACTCGCTGAGGCAATACTTTCGGGCGTCGGCGCCATATGTGGCCTCATATGGTTAAACATGTGATCATCCAACACGACGCGCTGGCACGTTCGATGCAGCGACGTCGCGCTTTCGCGGTCAGCGGCGCGGGCTGCCTCGGGGCCCGAGTCCAGTGCTGTGATTGTCGTGCGGAGGAGAAGTGGGTCGGGGGACCAGAGGATGCTCAAGACGCGAGGACAGGACAGGAGAGGTAGTGGGGAAACGCGTCTGCGTCCTGTGGGCAGCCGAAGACGCACGTTTTCGGCGCCAGCACGTGCATTCTTGCGGTAATGTCCACCCGCCACTGAGGAGTCTTGAAGACGGCCCAGCGCCAGCTCGGGCGGAAACCTTGGAGATTCCGGAACAACGATTCCCACCGATCGGGAAGCTCCTCGGGAGGCGGCAGCTGCAGGCCCCAGGACACCAAGCGCTTGGCGAGCGGGACTGTGAACGGCGAATAAAAACAGACCTTACGCAGCGAGGTGGCGAAAATTCGCTGGACGCGGGCACGGCGTTGCAGGTCTGCGGCTGCTCATGCCGTGACCTCGGCGCGGCCCGCGTCGTGAACATCGCGGATCACATGGGCCAGAAAGATGTTGCAGCGCTGGCCGGAGCAAAAGCGAGAGTAGTACTGCACAATAGAAATGGGTTGAGCCCAGAACGGCGGCGACCAGTGTCCAATGTTCCAGCGATGGAAATTGCGGACAACTCGTTATCCCAAGCGGCGTCGTGTAAGAAGGCAAAGTAATCGCCCGAATCGCAGCATAATGCGACAGAGGCGGAGCGCATAGCGGCGGCGACAGTGACAACGTGACAACCTGCATCGAGGCTGGGACTGGTGGGCGAAGGGGAGGAGGAGGAGGAGGAGGAGGGGGAGGAGGAGGAGGAGGAGGAGGAGGAGGAGGAGGAGGAGGAGGAGGAGGAGGAGGAGAAGGAGGAGAAGTAGGAGAGGGAGGAGGAGGAGGAAAGGAGCAATGAGGATGGGGGGAAAGACGAGGAGGGAGAAGGGGGGAAGGGAGGAGGAGGACGATGATAATGAAGATGACGATGCTGCTGATGATGATGACGGTGATTATCCCACCAGCCCTTTAGGGCGTCGGTGGTTTAACGAGTTTCCTCTTCCACCCCTCCTTCTTCCCCTTCGGGGAGGGGTTTACCCCTCCACCTACCCCCTCCCCACTGACCTGGACAGGGGGGGCGGGGAGCGGTCAGAGCGTCCAAAACGGCCTCGCCGAGGAAGCCAAAATCATTGATTTTACTAAGGTTTTGGCCCCATTTTGGCCTTCTCAGGGGGCAACGCCAGGCTCCCCTCCTTTGAAGCCCTTTAAGGGCGTTGGTTTAAAAAGCTCCCCTCTTTTTGAAGCCAAAATCATTGATTTTACTAAGGTTTTGGCCCCATTTTGGCCTTCTCAGGGGGCAACGCTAATTCAGGCTCCCCTCTTCTTTGAAGCCAAAATCATTGAGGTTTTGGCCCCATTTGGGCCTTCTGAAAGGGGGCAGCGCTAAGTAAAGCTCCCCTCTTCTTTGAAGCCAAAATCATTGATTTTACTAAGGTTTTGGCCCCATTTTGGCCTTCTGAGGGGGCAGCGCTAATTAAAGCTCCCCTGTTCTTTGATCGATTTCCTCCGAGATGGCCCCAAGAAGCGCCCAGGAGGCACCAAGAGGCCCCAAGATGGCCCCAAGATGGCCCCAAGAAGCCCCCAGGAGGCCCCCAAGAGGATCCCAAACGGCCCAAAGAGGCCCCCCCGAGGCACCCAAGACGCCGAAAAGCCCCTCAGGACGACCCTCTACTCGCCTGGGCGTCGTTTCTGGACGGGCTGGTGGGGATACGCGAAGCGTCTAGAATTTGTTTTCATCGTCCCCCGCCGAAGTAATTGGAGTGACCGGGGCAGGCCGAGAGCAGTCACCTCGCATACGAGGCCATCAGGTAAACAGGACATCCATGGGAGCGGTGGCGATCCAATGCTATTGCACAGATGACTGCTGAAAATATCCTCTGGTTCCCCAAAGTGGCGTGCAAGAGCGTCGAGCGATGTCAACACGTCAGAAGCCTGGCAAGATTTGCGAAGCAACAAATTGATATTATCTGTCCTCTTTGCTCAGGCCTTGCGGGGGAAGACCGTCGAAGTACGCGAACGATGCCGCGCCAGAGGGCGCAGCTCCAGAGGCGAAGGGCTCGGCCAGCATTGGACCGACAGGGACCTCGGAGTCTCTATCATCAAGCTCGCCGTTCTCTCCACGAGCCTTCTTCCGAGGCGGGGGCATCATATGCTGAACTTCGCGAAGAGGAGCGGCAGCACCTTCGCGATGAAGAGTGGCAGCACCTTCGCGATGGGGAGCGGTAGAACCAACGCGATGAGGAGCGGCAGCGCCGACATGTCGATGGGCGGCAGCACCCTCGCGGCGAGGGGCGGCGACGTCATGTCGAGGAGCGGCACCTTCACGATGAGCGGCACCTTCACAATGAGGGGCGCCACCTTCACGATGAGGAGCGGCAGCACCTTCGCGACGAGGAGCGGCACCGTCTTCACGATGAGCGGCAGCGCCATCGCAACGGGGAGCGGCAGCACCTTCGCGATGAAGATCGGCAGCGCCTTCGCGCGGATGAGTGGTGTCTTCGCGATGAGGGGCGGCATCTTCACGATATGAAACGGTACCTTCACGCTGAGGAGCGGCACCTGCACGATGAGGAGCGGCACCTTCACGATGAGGAGCGGCACCTTCACGATGAGGAGCGGCGAAGAGGACCGGCACCTTCACAATGTGGAGCGGCTCCGACAGGAAGAAGGGCACCAGCACCACCAGGGCGAAGGACAGGATACTCAGGATGATCAGCCCCGCCATGTTGATCAGCGCGAACGGCTTGGTCACCCCCAAGAAGCAGGAAGGCTACGAACACCAGCAGCTTCAGGGAAGTCATGACGACCACGCTCATGAGCACCTGCATGAACTCGAGGGGCATTCGCCGGCGGAGGACCCCGAACACCGACAGCAGCAAGAACCCGAACAGCAGGCTCAGCAGCCCTAGGACGATCATCTTGAATAATACGCCGAACCGGTATCGATATGTGTGATTCGCTAGCCGAAGAACAATGGCCATGCCCAACCACCACTGCATCTGGAAGAGACTCCAGGACTGAAGAAACCAGCTGAATGGCGAAGGAGTTGGGCATGAAGTGGGTCGTAGACAGGTAGCTGCACAACTTTGAAGACCACATTGTCGCGGTGCGAGTTCGCAACAAGCCTGCAGTGCCTGCCGAGGGCCAGCTGCTCTGAGAGCCAGCGCAGCCGCGCGGCGCACACCATCAGCGCCAGGAAGAGAAAAGGCTGCGAGCAAGCGGGGGAGAGGAAGCGGGGGGGCCGCAGGCGCGGCCAAGTGGCCCCTGGGACCAGCAAGCGCTTGACCCACAATGGCTATGATGTTGACGATGTTGATGATACTGCTGATGATGTTCGTGATGATGATGACGGGGAGGAAAAAGTGGTCTTTACTTGGCGGCACAGGGCGGCGCGAAAAATATCCGCCGGCCCCCTTGTGGGGCCACCAGGCTGCGAGGCGCGTGATTCGCAGTTTCCTGTACCAGTTGTAGTTTGTAGTTTCCAGTGTTACAAGTCTGCTTCTTGCTGGTTACTGTAACTAGTTGACTGATTGCTGGTTGCTGAAACTAGTTGATTGACCGCGCGAGGGGGGGGAAGGCCCAAACGGGATTTTTAGCGTCTCCTGGGCGCGTTGTCTGAATTGCTGGGGGGGCTCGAAATCGACACCCCTCACGCAGATCCGCGGGGTCAGGGTCGAAAAACACATGGGATTTGCCACATTTCTGAAATTCGGTGCCACCCCTCACGCAGATCCGCGGGGTCAGGGTCCAAAAACACATGGGATTTGCCACATTTCTGAAATTCGGTGCCACCCCTCACGCAGATCCGCGGGGTCAGGGTCCAAAAACACATGGGATTTGCCACATTTCTGAAATTCGGTGCCACCCCTCACGCAGATCCGCGGGGTCAGGGTCCAAAAACACAGGGGATTTGCCACATTTCTGAAATTCGGTGCCACCCCTCACGCAGATCCGCGGGGTCAGGGTCCAAAAACACAAGGGATTTGCCACATTTCTGAAATTCGGTGCCACCCCTCACGCAGATCCGCGGGGTCAGGGTCCAAAAACACATGGGATTTGCCACATTTCTGAAATTCGGTGCCACCCCTCACGCAGATCCGCGGGGTCAGGGTCCAAAAACACAGGGGATTTGCACATTTCTGAAATTCGGTGCCACCCTTCACGCACATCCATCGCAAGGCGTGGTAACCCAAACTGCGAGAACTCCCTCGGCCCTTTAATCGCAAGGTGTGGTAACCAAGCCCGTAAACCATACACGTCTTACCAATCGCCAGGTGTGGTAACCCCTCTTGTGATCAGTTGGTTTTGCTGATTGCGAATCGGCTTCGCATGAAGTTTCGATACTGCTTCACGACAGCGCCAAGACCTCATGACTTAGCTCTTCCATGGCCCATTCTCCGAGGGAGGGGGCCGGCGGCAGGGGGCGAAGCCCTTACGGATAATCCGTATGTCTAGCCCGCGTAAGCGTGGATTGTTCTCAGTTGCTGGACAGCAGCGTCTCGTCGGTGCATGCACTCGCGCAATTGATCTGCATGCCCTTGTCGTGCTGGATAGCGAAAAGTCGAACAACAATCCGCGGTCTGGCGAGAATGCCCACTCTTCCGGTGATTCCATTGCCTTGGCTGGTGCGGCGGGCTGGACGTCGGTCGGCCCTCCAGCCCCACCGTCGAACTGTTTTCACGGTTCCCTTTGTTTTCGACCTCATCTACGTGGTGCTCCTGGGTAAGGTTGGCCACGATCTCTCAGGGTGGGCACGTGTCAGAAGTCGATTTTTGCGACGTCGTTGTAAGAACACGGCGACGAGCAGAGCGGCGAGAAAAAAACACAACGCACGGCGCACGAAGCGCCGAGGGCCCTCGCGCCGTTCCCCGGGTTGCGGGCAGCGTCCGGGGCCCGAAAACGAATAAAAGGGCCCCCGCAAACGTTGACGGGGGCTCCCGTTCAGGGGTGTCAACCACGCCTCGGGCGTCGGATCCAGGCACGGATCCGCTACGGATCCTATGCGGATCCGATGCTTGTTGGACGGGTCCTATGCGAATTCGATGGGTTTGGACGGATCTGCGCAGGCGCGACAAGGGGGGAAAACGCCTTGTAGAACTGTATTCAAATATTCGGTTCAAAAACTTTATCCAGGCGGTTCTTGCCGGAACTCTCTTCAGGCGGCGCCTTCGGTTCCGATGTTTTGGACGTCGCGCGTTCTGATCACTGGACCTCACCGCCGCCGGCGTCGTCGTCGCCGGCACCTGGTTACGGTTCAGACCGATCCAGTGTCGCTTCCACTCCAAGCGAATTCGGTCGCGGTTCCAATCCAACCAAGCCGTATCAATTTGACCCACATGTCTGTAGATATTCCCATTTATACATATATATGTATATGTATATATATATATATAAAGAAACTGGTACTGCGGGTCGACCTCGCGGCCCCATTCTCGCCGGCGGCGCCCCGTCGCCGCCGGTCGTCTGGGCCAGCGGGTCGGTCTGGCGACCTTGTTTTCGCCGTCGCCGCCCCGTCGCCGCCTTGCCGCTGCCTGTCCTGCGGGTCGGTCTGGCGGCCCCGTTTTCGCCGTCGCCGCCCCGCCGCCGCCACGTCGCCGCCCGTCGCCGCCTCCCATAACTTTCCCTCTCTCAAGAAAGGAATTCGGACTTCCCCGGGGGTGGACGGGTCACGTGTGGACGGGGCACCTATATGTTTCTGCGCACTCGTCCAATATGAACTCGTACCATCCCTGGCGGTCTGGTTATCGACCCCTCCCCGTTTTCCCTGTCAAATAATATGCGCGCGTACTCGTTGATCACCAAGTATCAGTTCTCAAGAGTCCTTTGACAAAAACAAAGAAATGGCGAAGTGTTCACGCGCGCGTCGTCGCGCGAGCATGCCGAAATCCCACAGAAACCTCAAGTGTTGTGAAGGGTTCAAGACCGAATGTCCCGAACACGTATTACAATGCAACGTTTTGCAACATTTGCCTTCGAAAACCTATGTCTGTATATATATATATATATATATATATATGGTCGCCCCCCCTGTGATCATACATCTCCGTCGTGTTCGCTCTCTCCCTCTCTCCTTCTCTCTCGCTCTATCCCTCTCTCTCGTTTTGTTGTTCTCTCTTTGCGTTTGTCTCTCGCGCTCTCTGTGATTGTCTGCTGCTGTCTTCGACTGTTTGTCTTTCGCGCTCTCTGTGTTTGTGTTTGAGCTTTTCCAGCTTTTCCGAAAGATTACCCTCGTGAAAAACCTTATGGTTTCCAGCTTTTCCAGCTTTTCCAACTTTTCCCAGAGATTACCCTGGTGAAAAACCGTGTGGTTTCCAGCTTTTCCAACTTTTCCAGCTTCTCCCAGAGACTAACCTGGTGAAAAACCTTGTGTTTTCCAGCTTTTCCAGCTTTTCCAGCTTTTCCCAGAGATTACCCTGGTGAAAAACATTGTGTTTTCCACCGTTTCCAGCTTTTCCCAGAGACTACCCTGGTGGAAAACTTTGTGTTTTTTCGAGCTTTTCCAGCTTTTCCAACTTTTCCCAGAGACTACCCTGATGACGGTTGTTTCACCAGGGTAATCTCTGGGAAAAACTGGAAAAGCTGGAACACACAACTGGGAAAAGCTGGAAAAGCGGGAAAACACAATGTTTTTTTCACCAGCGAAAAACTGGAAAAGCTGGAAAAGCTGGAAACCACAATGTTTTTCACCAGGGTAGTCTCTGGGAAAAGTTGGAAAAGCTGGAGAAGCTGGAAAACACAATGTTTTTCACCATGGTAATCTCTGGGAAAAGCTGGAAAAGCTGGAAAAGCTGGAAAGCACAAGGTTTCTCATCAGGGTAGTCTCTGGGAAAAGCTGGAAAAGCTGGAAAACACAAGGTTTTCGCTAAGGATACCTCTGGGGGTAACTGGAAAAGCTGGAAACGTGACAGATCTCCATGTGTTGCTTGCGACAAAGCTGGAACATGTAGAATGTCATATGGGAGGCACATTTGCTAGCGAGGAGGCGGTGCGAGTTCTCAAGTCGGGCGGTTCTAATAACTGGACAGCACTGGCCGCTTGCTGCCCGCGCTCAGCTGCGTGGCGACGACCCATCGCCGTCGAAGGTGCCAATGCCTACGCACGCTCCACCCGCGGCGGGCCAGCGCTCGAGCTCGCCGCGGCGCCGCTCGCCACGCCGTCGTCCTCGAGCATCTGCGACAGCTCCACCTCGAGGGCGGGGCGCCGCTTCTTTGGCGTCGGCGTGCTCAAGTCAATGACGCCGCGGCCCGCCGAACTCTTGAGGAAGCGGAAGGCCCCTTTCTCCCGCTTGACGGGCACGGGCTTCGGGGGCGGCGCAGGCGGCGCAACCGCCGCGGGCGCGCCGCCGTCGCCGTCCACCCCACCACCGAAGCCGAAGACGTCCTCTTCCTCTACGTCGCTGCCATCTGGGTTCGCAGGGGGATCAAGCGCGGAACGCGCGGCGCCGCTTGCGACGTCAGGCTCGCCGTCCAGCTCGGGGAACTGGTACCTCGGCGGGGCGTCTTGGTCGAACAGCGTGGGGCCGCGCACCGTCGACGAGCGCCCGATGTCGTCGCCCCTGGAAAACTTCTTCATGGCGGCCACCGACCACCTCATGTGCATGTCGTAGTCGGTCGGCGCGAACGTTTGGTCCTTCTTGTAGCGCCTCAGAATCGGCGTTGTCTCTGGCGTAAAGAGGTCTGGCTTATCGGGCGCTGGCCAAGGGAAGCGGGGAACTGGGCCCTTCGTCGTCGACGCCAACCGCAAGTAGATCCAGCCATCAGTCAGGAGCACAATGTGTACCTCGCCAGATACGCCTCCACGTCAGCCATCTGGTAGCCGCTCTGCCTCTCGCATACGAAATTGCAGTCAACGATTTTCAGGAAATCTTTGAATGCGACCTCTTCCCTGCCTCTGCGTATGGAGCGGGCCGTCTTCTCGAACTCCTCATTGTACGGGTTGATGCAGATCTGGCGGGGCTGGTTCTGCGCGAAAGAGGCGCCGCCCCACCTACGCAGCGCGCGGACAGCGGCGCGCGAAACTTTTTCATTTCGCACCATAACAGAAACACGCCAACATGAAACGTCTCTGTCGTTCGTTGTGTATGTTTCTATTTGGCCGCGTGCGTTGTCCGCGCCCTGCTGCCTGGCCCATAGCAGCGCGTCCTCTTCTGCGGGGTCGAGCAAGGCCTTGATCTCATCGGGGGCCCACTTCGTGAGGACGGTGTCGTCGGCGATGGCGGGCTTGGAGACTGTCCCAGGTTCGAGCCGCAAGAAGTCCACCTTCTTCGTCGTGACGACGCTCGGGCGGAGGTCGACGCGATCGTGCTTGTCTATCTGGTAGGCGGAGATCGCAAAGCCTATCGTTTTCGAAGCCGTCGATTTGCCGACCCTGGTCTTGCCAATCCACATTGCGCCGTGCACGTCATGGCTCTTGAGAATAGGGACAACGACGTGGTCGAACACGAAAGGGTGGAAGCGTTTGAGCGTGACCGCCCAACGCTCCAGCGTCTTCGCTCCAACAGAGCCTGACGCGTAGTTGCGGAGCGACTCCTTGACCTCTCCCGCCTGCCAGCCAAAGATCGGGGAGCTTTCGTCGTTGATCTGTTCGTCAGTCCATTCGACGAACTGGTTGCGATTGTTCGCTCGAGGGCCGAATTCCTCAATGAAGCGGAAGCCAGCCTTTCGCTTCCCCTTGTCGTAATTGCCGCCGCCGACGGCTGCCACCACTGACGGCTGGACCCAATGACGGATCTGAACTCCGCCCAGCCTGTCCATCATGTAGTAGAAAAGCTTCAGGGGCGTGTTGTTGTCGGCCGAGCTCCCCCAATGAATTGTGAGCGCCCTGCCCGCGACGAAGATCTCCTTGGCGATGTCGGCCCGAACCTTGTCTTGGAACCTCGCATATTTCAGGACGAACTGATGGCCGTTGCCCTCCTTCGACAAAATGCACAGCTGCATGGTGCATGCAAGTTCCCCAGGGTCCTTGTTCGGCTTGAATGGGGCAGGAAGAGCCATGTAGTTGCCGCCGCACATGGCGTCGCACACGTCGACTGTGTCCAAATGGTCCGCGGCGCCGTCCTCCAAGTTCACCCAGTCCACCAAATGCTTGAGGTTCACAACTTGGTCCGCGTATTGGAGCGGCATGTCGCGCAAGCAAAAGGCAGCGGGCGGATCTGACTGGAAGCGTTCGGGCTTGCCCAGCTTCTTGTATTGCTGCACCGCTGCCATGTGCAGCCACGTGCTTTTGATCTGCTCAGTGCAAGACGCGTCTCCACCGATGAGCTCCCCCATTGACTTGATGCCGCCAGCCGTGAGGCTCGCCATGGCACAGCGGGAACGGACGCAGGAGTTCGCATGTAAACTCTAGCGGCGACGGAGGGCGGCGCGACGGCGGCCGCTCGAACCTGAAGGGCAACGGAACGGCGCTCTCCCCGCGGTCGCAGCCGCGCCTGCGGCGCGCGACCGCGCCCCCAACTGCTTCTCCTCCCGTTCGCTAGAAAGTGGGGGATCGCACGCGCAAGTCTCATAATGTCAACGAGGCAGCATTGGCCGCTTGCTGAACCCTACGCGGAAGCTGCGCAGCTACATAAAACGCAAAAGACACCCCTCATCACACTGCGCCCTCACCGGCACGCCTCAGAAAGTTGAACCCATCAAGTCGTGAATCATTGCGCCCGTGGCCGCCCACAAATCTTGACCGCGATGCCAGTATTCCCACTGAGCCGAGCGAATGCGGGCGGCCAGTGCTCTACTGTGCGGCTTATAGGTCCGCGGGCCAATGTGGTTCTTCACGTGCTTCCAGGTCCGATCGATGATCTGGGTGCCTGTCTTCACGCTGACCACGTTGCCGCTGGGGAGCTCGTGCTTCACGATCTTAGAGTAGACGGGCTTGAGCCACTTCCACTTGCCCCCCACCTTGACGCGCTTCTTGCAATGGATAGCCACATCGTGGAGCAAGCCAGGCGCCTTCATTTCATAGCTCCGTGCGCCGTCCGAGTGCAAGATTACCTTGCGATCTTTGAGGCGTTCCAAGAGGAAAAAGGCTTCCAGTCGGTCTTCTTGATGGCGCCTGGGCCAGGGGCATTCTTGGCGGCGCGGTCTGACTCTGTCTTGAACAACACCAGCGCGGCTGGCCTGCCCCTCTGCACGACCCCCGCCCACTGCTCCCACTCCTTCGCCTCTTTGTCCTCCGTGATCGCAGTGGCAAAGACGGACTCGTCAGCCTCAATGTCCACCCACGTCTTGCCGTCTCCGAACACGATGTTCTTTTCGTATTTCTCCACATACTGCGCGCGCGCCACGTCAAGGTTGCGAGTGATGCCCCCGATCATTTTGTGGTTGACGCCGTAGTGGAGGTGGATCTGCGCGGTCGTCATCCCCGTGACGACGCCGCAGAGGACTCTCGTCTTGTCCTTCAAGGATGACGTCTCCTTCCCCCAGCCGCTGGAGAAAATTGGATGGCAATGGGTGGGCCGCACCTGCTTGCCGCCGTTCCTCCCATCGTTGCACCGCCATGCGCAGCCAGAGCCGCCATCCCACTCCCTGACGCATCGGTCGCCGAGGGTGCCCTTGCCGCAGAAGAGCACGTCAACCCTGCCCAGTCGAGCAGAATTCCGTCTTCGATTAGGAGGTCCACGAGCTTGCTCTCGTTCTCCACGTGGAAAGAATCAATGTTGCGGCACCGCGTATCGCGCTCCATCCGCGTCTTCCTGGTGCCTCCAGCAGTGCGAACGTACTTGGCGTCGCCCGCCTGCTCCCCCCTCCTGCCCTGCGCGCGGCCCTTCCCACGCTTGGACGCTGTGTAAGGGTTGAAAGTGCTCGCGGGGCGCTTGAGGCAGGCGCCCTTCTGCACTCCACGAACCGCTGCGGCGGGGCGCTTCGCCACGCGGCCAGCAGAAGCAGCGGGGCGCGCCATGGCGCGGGGGCGCTACGGCAGAGCAATCGCGAGCTAAGGCTAGAAGCAGTTTTAGCCAAAGCGGCAGCTGTCGGGGCGCGTTAGTTTCCATCGGGTTCCAGTTTCTAAGCCTTGGGCTTCCTCCTAGGGCCACGGGCTTCCTCCTGAGTCTGCTCTGGGGCCTTGGGCTTGCTCCCCCAGAAGCTTCGACCTTCGACCTCCGAACGCCCAGCAACGACCACAGTTTTTTTTTCAAAAAAAAAAACGTAAACACAAGTAGGTTAGAAGATCGTGTGGGCCCCTGCGCTTTTTAAGAAAAAACTACATGGGCCGCAGTGGGCCCCCCTTTCTGGTTTTTCGGGGCCGAGGGAACCGAATGCTGAAGCGGCGGCAGGCGGAGCGGCGATGGCGATGATCGACAGAGCTGTTCGCAATCAGCTCGGGGCGCTGCGGCATGGCGTTCGCGCGGGGATTCTTCCTCCCCGACATAGCTCAAGCTCCGCTTCAAAAAGACACTAATGATTTGCACGTTCATATGCCAGTGGATGGCAAGCGCCGTGCCCTAGACAGAGCATCACACCTGGAACGCGGCCGCCAGCGCCCTGAAAGTCACTGCCTGCTCAACGGCCTTGATGTGGGTGCGGAATCTATGCTCGGCAAGGAGCCTCGACCACTTCTGTCTGTTGGCCTTCTTGGGCAACATGCCGCCGTCGCGTTTCCTGGTCCATCGCTTGATCAATGGTCATTGAAGCTCTATGCGGTTGGTAGTGAACCCTCTCTCGTTCGTGATCTCGCCAGCGCTGTGGTTCACTACCTCGCGCGGCAGCATCCGCTCGGTGAGGCCCGCGTCAGTGCGGTACTGCTTCACGGCAGCTATGGTCCCCTTCCACTTGTCCGAGACAATGATGACCCCAGCGGGCGGCGACAACTCCTTGAAGTTGTCCAAGAGCTCCTTCTTGCCCTCGCTGGTGTCGTTGCGTAACACGCGTGCGACCACGTGGCCTTGTGTTCAGGCACAATGATGGTAACCCGTTTTTTGGGTTCCCCCCTGGGTCCGCGCCCACCGCAGAGGGGCATCCGTTGTTGGATGCCCCTCCAGAGTAGCGCCGTGGAAGCGCTTTGCAGTGTCGAAGACTTGGTTTGTGGTGTGGCGTCATCACTGATGCTGAGGCGTTGCTGGTGTCGTTGCGTAACAAGCGTGCGGCCATGTGGCCTTGTGTTCGAGCACAGTGGTGGGAACCCGTTTTTTGGGTTCCCTCCTGGGTCCGCGTCCGCCACGGAGGGGCATCCGTTTTTCGGGTGCCCTCCAGAGTAGCGCCGTGGAAGCGCTTTGCAGTGTCGAAGTTTTGGTTTGTTGTGTGGTATCATCACTGATGCTGAGGCGTTGCTGGTGTCCTTGCGTAACAGGCGTCCGACCATGTGGCCTTGTGTTCGGGCACAGTGATGGTAACCCGTTTTTGGGGTTCCCTCCTGGGTCCGCGTCCGCCACAGAGGGGCATCCGTTTTTGGATGCCCCTCCAGAGTAGCGCCGTGGAAGCGCTTTGCAGTGTCGAAGACTTGGTTTGTGGTGTGGTGTCATCACTGATGCTGAGGCGTTGCTGGTGTCGTTGCGTAACAAGCGTGCGGCCATGTGGCCTTGTGTTCGAGCACAGTGGTGGGAACCCGTTTTTTGGGTTCCCTCCTGGGTCCGCGTCCGCCACGGAGGGGCATCCGTTTTTCGGGTGCCCTCCAGAGTAGCGCCGTGGAAGCCCTTTGCAGTGTCGAAGACTTGGTTTGTGGTGTGGTATCATCACTGATGCTGAGGCGTTGCTGGTGTCCTTGCGTAACAGGCGTCCGACCATGTGGCCTTGTGTTCGGGCACAGTAATGGTAACCCGTTTTTGGGGTTCCCTCCTGGGTCCGCGTCCGCCACAGAGGGGCATCCGTTTTTGGATGCCCCTCCAGAGTAGCGCCGTGGAAGCGCTTTGCAGTGTCGAAGACTTGGTTTGTGGTGTGGTGTCACCACTGATGCTGAGGCGTTGCTGGTGTCGTTGCGTAACAAGCGTGCGGCCATGCGGCCTTGTGTTCGAGCACAGTGATGGGAACCCGTTTTTTGGGTTCCCTCCTGGGTCCGCGTCCGCCACGGAGGGGCATCCGTTTTTTGGATGCCCCTCCAGAGTAGCGCCGTGGAAGCGCTTCGCAGTGTCGAAGTTTTGGTTTGTTGTGTGGTATCATCACTGATGCTGAGCCGTTGCTGGTGCCCTTGCGTAACAGGCGTCCGACCATGTGGCCTTGTGTTCGGGCACAGTGATGGTAACCCGTTTTGGGGATTCCCTCCTGGGCCCGCGTCCGCCACAGAGGGGCATCCTTTTTTGGATGACCCTCCAGAGTAGCGCCGTGGAAGTGCTTTGCAATGTCGAAGACTTGGTTTGTGTATGAACGTGTGGGGAGGAGACAGGTTGAAAGGAGAGGGTGGGGAGGGAGAGGGGGAGGATGATGAGGAGGAGGAGGATGAGGATGATGATGATGACGAGGAGGAGGAGGAAGAGGAGGAGGAGGAGGAGGAGGAGGGGAGGAAAAGGGGGAGGATGAGGAGGAGGAGGAGGAGGACGACGACGACGACGATGAGGATGATGATGATGAGGAGGAGGACGACGACGAGGAGGATGAGAAAGAAGGCGGGATGTATGATCACAGGGGGGGCGTATATATGCACATACATACATACATACATACATGAACGTACAATATATGTATATATACATATATATATGTATATATATGTATATATATATGTGTAAATATACACATGTGCGCGCGCGCTTTTTCGAACCCTTGGAAACATTGTTTCAGCATGTTCATCAGATGCGACCAAGCGGGCATATTCCTCGCGCGTGTCAAAACCATTCGTACGTTTTTGCGCGCATGTTGGAAGGCGGGCGCGATATTTGTCAAAAGACACCATGCGGGCCCCGCGCGCGCGTCGGCCGCGCGCGCACGCCGAAATCCTTCCAAAACTTTCACCACGGACGCGAAGATATCATCATCGTCATCGGCGTGATCAGCATCGGCGCCGTCATCGGCATTGCCGTGCGCCCACCCGGGCCAATAACTCGCACTGAAATGCCCGCGCGTCAGCGCGGGTTGCGAGACGCGCTGGGAAGTCCTCATCGGTCAGCGCCACCGCGGTCGCGCCGGTCGCCCCAGACTGGCTGGCCCTTCTGTGCGCGCGCGATAGCGCGGCCGCAGCGATGAGCCAGCAAGCGCCAAGCAGTCGTCGCAATGGCCGCCGCATGGGCTTTGCAGGCCGAAGTTGCGGGTGGGTGGAAAGATGGCGCGCGCAGTGGGGCTGAGAATTCACCTGTGAGCATTCGTTGATCTCCTTTAACATGGGCTTTACATATACCACCCCCCGAAGGCGGAATTATCCGCCTGCCTTGTCGTATTGCGACTTGCATACAAGTATGCCCCATCGTTCATCCGAAACATGAACTCGCCTCATCCCAGCCAGGTTGGGCTCGAACCCCCCGCCATACCCTGCAACAAATATTATGCGCGCGTGTTCGCTTAGGAAAAAAACGTGTTCGCCGGACCCTTTTTTTTCAGAACTTAAAACAAAGTGCACAGGCGCGCGTCGTCGCGCGCGCATCTAAAACCCGTTCAAAACAACCATACGTTTCGTGACAAAACCGAGTGCTCCGAACACGTGATCAAACGCAAGGTGTTGCAACATCAGCTTTCGAGGGGCAACTATTTGCGCACCATGGTTTTCTACATGCTCATCGAATTCGACCAAAAGAAGGGGGGGCCTCTCGCGCGCGCGTGTCGAAATCACTCGAATGCCCTTGGCGCGCGTGTCGGGGGGGACGATCCCTGCCAACAAATAGAATGCGGGCCACGCGCGCGCGTCGGCCGCGCGCGCATGTCCAAATCCTGTGAGAGGACATCATCGCCAGCATCGGCGCCGTCATCGGCCTTGCCGTCGTCATCGCCATCTTCGTTACCATCATCGCTACTATCATCATCTTGTCCACCGCTGTCGACGCTGCCATGATACCACGCCCGCCCCAATCACCGACTCGCAGTGACGTCCCCTTGCGTCAGCTCGGCCTGCGAGAGCGCTGGGAAGTGCCAAGCGGTCAGCGCCACCGCGGTCGCGCCGGTCGCGCAAGACTAGCTGGCCGCTGTACGCGCGAGCATGCGTGGTCTAGCGTGGCCACAGAGATGCACCAGCCATCACCAAGCACTCATCGCAATCACCGCCGCATGGGTTTGGAAAACCAAGCTGCAGGCGGGTGGGTGGGAGGACTGCGGGAGCAGAGGGAGTGACAACTCTGATTCGGCCAAATATCATTTACACCGCGTATCTATATATATATATATATATATATATATATATTGCACCGCATACGCTGCACCACACACTGTGTGCAGCATAGATTGCACTGCGTAAGCAACACAACATCATATGTACCACATAACTAGATTGCACCACATATTTTGCATTACATGCGTTGTCCCACATAGCTTGCACACCGTAGATTGTTATAGTCACATCGTTTGGGGCCCAAGCTGGTTGACAATACACGAATGCTACAACGAATGCAGAAGCAAACGCGAATCCGAATGCTAATAGTAACGCAGGTACTGATGCAAATGCTGCAGCTAGAGCGAATACGGGAACAAATGCAAACATTGAGGAGGATAACTGAGAATGCTAACAGGAGGCAGCGGGCGGCCACGATGCCAAACCGATTCCGGATCCGGCAACGCACCCACTAGAAGCAACGGGAGGCCACGTCGCCCTACCGGTTCTGTGTCCGTCAACGCTCGTACTGTTGTCTGGGAAGGAAAGTGTCGCCGCACCGACTGTTCTGAGCGCGCCCAAGTAGACGAAGCCAGCACCGCAGCAAACCCATGGCAAACCCTGCGTCCGAGGCGAAGTTTGCCCTGGCGGCTGCGGCGCCAATGACGGCGCCTTCGTCCTCCCTTATAGTGGCACGGTGGCGTCCATCCGTCGCGACGATAACTTCCAGACTCGCTCGAGCAACCATGGAACGACGTCGGCGCGGTCCTTGAGGGTGGCACGACGAGGGGGGCCCTGGAAGCCTCCGCGTGGGCGTGACGGATCCCCCCAGGGGGTAACGTGCATGGCTGGCGCTCCGCTCCGAGGCTCGGCTCGAGCGGGGACCCAAACCTGCACGCGCTGACAGCAACAACGCCGTCGACGACGGCCGAACATCAGGTCGAAAGCCGATTTCAGACCCCTTCCAGATTCCATCCTGGCCAATATTGCACCCCGTACCGGCCGTTGAGGCCTCAGGGGCCCGAAACGTGATCCTTAAAGGTGCAGATTGTGGAAAACATGGTCGAAGCTCGTCGTCGCCACCGCCGCCGCCGCCGTCGTCGTCGTTGCCATCGTCGTTGCCGTCGTCGTCGCCGTCGCCGCCGTCGCCGCCGCCGCCCCCGTCGTCGTCGTCGTCGTCGTCGTCGTCGTCATCGTCGGTCGTCGTTGGTCGTCGTTGGTCGTCTTCATCGTCGTCCGCTCGTTGTCGACGACAACGCCGAGAACTTGGCGGCGGAGCACGCGTCGGCCGCGCGCAGCCTGACGGCTGGGCGGCTGCGCGGCGGCCGCGGCGCCGAGAAGGCGCCCCTGCGCCGCCAGCTCGTGCGGCGCCATCTGCCCCTCTCAGGCGATGGGGGGGCGTCATCGTCGTCGTCGTCGTCGTCGTCGTCGTCGTCGTCCTCGTCGTCGTGGGCGTCCTGGCCATCGTCGGCCGACGATGATGCCGAGAGCAGCGCGGCGTGCGGGCGTGCGCGTGGTAGCCGCCGCCACCGTCGTCGTCGTCGTCGTCGTCGCCGCCGCTGCCGCCGCCGTCGCCCGCGTCATCGTCGTGCGGCGCCAGGCCCTATCGGGCGGGGTTGCCCTGGTCGTCCGCCGTCGTCGTCCTCGTCGTCGTCCGCCGTCGCTGGGCACCTGGCGCGGGCAGAGGGGCGGCCCCGCTGCGACGGGGAGCCTTCGGGGCCCACTGCCTTCCCTCGTACTTCGCGCGGATGAAGCGCGCCATCGCCTCCCGGTCGGTCGCCTGGCTGGGCCAAGCGGGGCGGAGACGTTCCCGACGACAGGGGGAGGAGCGCAGGCGGACGAGGCGACCAGCGAAGACGGCCCGCGACGGTGGGCCGGGAGCGCCCGACCGAGCCAGCGCGTCGCGCGAAGACTGCCCCTGCTCTCTCCGCGCGTGGGTGGCAGGACTACGGCAAGCTCGTGCCCTGACGACTTGCGCGCCAGTTCCTTGCCCCACGCGGATGGTTCCAACCTGGGGCGATCCTGTCTTTCCCATCGCACAGATCTTTGGGTACCGGCAAATTCCGCGGGCCACTGACGGCATCCGACCTCGAACGCCCGCGTTGGGGTCGCCGCTGCGTCGACGCGGCACGAACCTGCCGTACCCTCTTCGCTGGGTCTGGATGTTCGGGGGCGCGAGGTGCTCGAGGGTCCGGTTTGGCTTTTGCCCTAGACTGCTCCAAGATGGCCTCCAGCATGGCGTAATTTAAAGCAGTGTGCGACTCACTGGCCACCACCATGTTTCCAGAAGGCTACAAGACCGCCTCAAGACGGCTCGAGGCGACCGAGGGAAACCCAAGACCACGGGAGGCCCACAACCTTGAAATATCTGCGGTGCTTCAATCCTTCTCACCTTTTCGCTTCCGATGTGCTACTAAGGACTAAGGTGGAGCCTCAAGACGGCTCCGAGACCGCCCAAGAGAATCCCGAGAAGGTCACAGAAGGCTCCCAAGAGGAACTCGAAGCCGCCCTCCCACGCACTTTGAGAGAAGGTCCCAAGAGGATTTGTTTAGGCTTCCACGTTGACCGAGGTCCTCGAAGATGACCCTAAGGGAGCTTTCAAGGCGGCTCCGAAAGGGCCCCACGTGGCCCCAAGAGAACGCCTCTCTAACATCACGATTGTTGGCCTCTTTGTTACGCTATACGCTTGCCGATGTCCGTCCTCCCCACAACTCGCGTGTGCATATCTTGTGGATGGGCTGAGGAGGCACGCGGCCGAGGGTCGAGGAGACACGCCGCCGAACTGCACCAGAATAGTTACAGGACCGAGCACCGCGCGGCGCTGCAGCCATGAGGCGCACAGGCCCAACCCCTGGGCGCCGCGAAAACGAAATCACGACCGACAAGTTTTGTCTCCGTGTTCGTCCTCTGGGGGGGCCCTCGCCAGGCCCCGGGACCCCCAAACAAGGATTCGGGATCAAAAAATGATCCCGGGGAAGGATCCGGATCTTCTGGGGATCCACGCCGAGAACAGAAAAGACGTCGGAGGCCTGGCCCTTGGGAGAGAACTGCGTACAACGAGCACTCGACGGCTGGGCAAAGAGCTCGGCATCAGGCTGGGGGGAAGAGCAACGAGGGTGGTGACCGCGGGGCGAGATCAAACGCGAGGAGCCCCCCGAGAGAGGTCAGCCCGCCAAAACTTGCCACGTGGCCTCGTGCCCTCCACAGGGAGGAGGCAGAATTCCCCCAGAACCCCTCCGATTCGAACTCTCCGAATCGGCGGCCCCCGGATATCTAGCCGCCCTAGGGTTGGCTCTTCAGCCGTTCTCTGACAGTCCTGCGGGGGCAGGGAGCGTCCACTGCCGCGGCGGGGCTACTTGTAAGTAGATATCTCAGTTCGCCCAGTTACGAACTAGCGCAAGTAGTTCACAAGTAGCTCCGAAATGGCGTAAGTAGTTCATACGTATATCAGATGTAGCGCACGTAATTCATGCATTGGTATAAGTAGTTACGCTAGCTAGGGGCCAATTATGAGTAGGGCCAACTAATCATAAGTAGCGTAAATAGTCACGCCACTTACGGGTTAAATTTGAAAGTGGCGTAACTGCAGTTACGCCACTTACGCCAGTTATGGGCGCACGTATGTAAGCATACATAGGTAGCACAAGTGCGACGCGCGCGCTGACCACGACGCCCGACCCCAAGACCAAAATGGCCTAACACCATGGCGCTCTGAGCACCCGAGGCTCCGACCCTAGGACTTCAATGCCGTTGGCCCTAAAGCCAACCGAAAACCCTGGGCCCCCAGGCCCGCCAATCTGGGCAATATTGGGCGGGGGCCGTGGCGGCCATGCTGTGACAGCAATATTGCTGCCGCTGCCTCTGCTGCTGCATTTGCGCTGCCGCCGCTCCAGACCAGCTTGTTTCAAGCGCCCCGTCTTGCGTTTAGCGCAGCCGTCCCCGCCTTGCGTTTCGCGCAGTTGGGCAATGGCGAGAGGGGGCGTCGCAGCGCGCGTGGAACGAGCCCAGGGAGATCAACGCGATCGTCAAATAATACATTTTGAGCCATTGCCCCCCCGATCCTCCCCGACCAGGCGGTGACACTGTTGCGGTAAGATGGCCCGTTGAGGCGCGGCGATTGGGCGTTTTGCGGCCGCGCGCCCGCGGAACAGGCGCGGCGATGGCATAAATCCTTCCCACGCGCGCGCCTGTGCGCAGTTCGTGCAATGACGGGTTCAGCATGGAAGAGGTGGGCGCGCCCATCGCCGGCGAGATGCCACCCCCATCTCACGCGCGCCGCGCCGAGGCGTTCAAGTTCAACCGAGACCCGGCCAACGAACCCCGCGGCTTCTTGGCGCCACGCGACGAAGGCGAGATCCACATTCAGCGCGATCAAGTCGCACGCGACCCAGGTGACCCACTGCATTCAGTTTCGCAGCCCTACAGATCCAGAGAACGTCGAGTTCGGTACCGATGGGAAGCTGTGCGTCCACAGGATCGGGCTGAAGCGCCCTACATGGGCAGCTGTTTCGAAGGGCGGGCTTGAGTGGGACGTGCTCGTCTGGCATGCTGAGGGCGCATTCGGCGGAATTCTGGGTTTGCTTCAGGGCCCAACTGCCTGTCGGATCGACGCGTTCCCCCCCCCCCTCCCCCCAAACTGTCCGATCGCCCCCGCCCACGCCCCGCCGCGTCTGATTCGTTGGTGTTGGCGGGGGGCCGCGCGCCCATCGGGAGGCTGGAAATGCCGGACAGAGGGTTGCCAAGAGCGGGGCGGGGTGGGGGGCCTTGTTCAAGATGCACGGGCAGGCGAAGAAGTTGATCGGTACTTCCGAAGCCACTGAGAAGGTGGGAAACACCTTGGACCCCGAAAGCGCGTGGCAGGGGGCCATTCAGCCAGCGCAAAACAGACCCAGATTTCGTTCTCGAGATCGCGAGCCCGGCGGAGTCTGCGAGGAAGCTCAGCAGTGGACCAGGCGCGATTAATTTGAAGGAGCTGCGCGCTTTCAACCGTTCGTGCCAGTGGCCCCGCGCTGTGCAGGGCAGCGTCTTGGCGGCGGTGGCCGACGCAGCGATCGGCTCGAGTGGTTTGGATCGCGTTCTCTTCCGCCTCGACTGCGCTGGTCAGCGCCGATGGCAAGTGTGCAGCGGGCGACGCGCAGACCTTCTTCAGCGCGGCTGACTTCGGGAGCAAGCTCACCAATAACAAGGAAGTGCAGCGCATGATCGCGCAGGCAGACATCAGAGCGCCAACGTGCCAGCAGACCACGCGGCCGCGAAGACGTTGCCCAACAGGTTCGGCATGAGACTCGTGCATGCATCATTGCATGGAGAAGCACGACCCCGGGGGCCCAAAGTTCGAGCCGCTTCGCCACGTCGGCTGCGAGTGCACGTAGGACCTGGCTACCATTGCAGGCGCGCCGCTCACCTCCCCGCGGGAGAGGCCAGGGGCCGCGGCCAAGGCGCCCGCGCCTGGAGCTCCTACACCAGCGCAGTTCGCGGGCGGGGTCGCCGACAGGACGTCGAAATTGGCATCCGTGGGCGAGGGCGCCGACGCCGCGATCGAGGTCGCCAAATTCGAGGCCTGCAAAGTGCGGGAAGTCACGAAGTCACGGCGGAGGAGAGCGATGGGAGCGACTACACGCTCGACGCGGCCAACCTCCTGAAATCGTTGCTCGCCCCGCATTCAGCGGAGTTGCAGTTGCCCAAGAAGAACAGACATAACCAACTGCAGTCGAAGGGCGCCGCGCCCTCGGCTGCCGCTGGAGAAAAGAAAAAATGGCCCAGCAACTTGGAACAAATAAAGAAGGCGCTCGCGCCGCAGGCCCAGGCCAGGGCCCCATTTGAACGCGCGGCCGAACTTCCGGCCTCGCCCGAGCATCTCCCGAATGGTCTCTACATGCGCGCGGTAGCAGCGCGCCGTCAATGAAAGAGTACCTCGAGCTGTAGGTCGGGTTAGTCCGAAGGAGCTCGGCTGTCTGCAAAACTGCAAGAGCGCTTAAAGCGAGGGCGCAGCGGGGTCGCAGCTGGCCTCGCAGGAGCCGGGGCCCGTCTCGCTGAACCTGCGCGCTCCAATCTGCAAGCAGATCGGCGCCCACATGATGCAGGGCATTCTGGGTGCTCAGGGTGGCGCGGCTCTTCCCCCATCGATGGTGCCGTTCAGCATGCTACGGGATCTCGGCGTGGCCCCGACGGCGGCGAGCTTGCGCCCTCCCTTCGGCGCGGCCGCGTCATCGGCCGCGCGTGCCCGCGCCCGCGGCCAACGTCTCCGCCGCTGGGGGCGACGCGACTGGCGCATCGCGCTGGATTGGCGCTGGCTCGCAGAAACGCGCGCGCCGTTCCAGGAGCGAGCCGCGCTAAATATCTCCAATGTTTGCATTCGTGAACGCGGCGAGCGCGCGCGAGCAGCTGCGCGCGGGCCCTCGATGGCATGCCCGATAGTTTTGCGATGTTGCGTTGTCCTACCTTATCATGTGCCCGACTCATCCCCCCTCTCTCTCTCTCTCTCTCTCTCTCTCTCCTCATGTGTTTGTTCCGTCGCTCGCTCTCTCTCTCTCTCTCTCTCTCTCTCTCTCTGTCTTTCTCTCTCTCTCCCTCTCTTTCTTGTCCCTCTCTCTCTCTCTCTCTCTCTTTTTCTCTCTTTCTCTCTCTCACTCGCTCTCTCTCTCTCTCTCTCTCTCTCTCTCTCTCTCTTTCTCTCTTTCTCTCTCTCTCTCTCTTCCTTTCTCGCTGGCCCACATGTGCAATATCGCTCTTACTCTCGCCCTCTATCTTCTCGTCCTACATCCCGCCCTCCCAGCCCCT